TATAAAATTTGCATTTAAGTTATCAATACTATCTTTTTACATAAAGTTGTTGATATGTATCAAAATTGTATTAAGAGAGAAAGTTTTGATTGGATTTTTAGAGAGGAAGAAACACACACCACATATAAAATATATACAAATCAGATACAAAATATATAAAATATATAAAAGATATATTGTATAAAATTTATATGAAAATTGTATTTAAGTTGTATGACATTGTAGATGTATTTTAACTGGGTAAAAATAATGTATAAAAGTTGTAGATTAATTATAAATAAGTGTATACTATATAATTAGTTATATGAAATTTATTTTTAGTATGTACTATGTTGTTGTAGATATATCAATCTGTATTAAATTTGTATGTTGTTGTACCATCAAATTGTATAATATTAATTTTAAGTACGATGTATCCATTTTAGCGCTGATTTAAATAGGTTTCTTAAATCAGTATATTATATTGGAACTGGAGTTCTAGTATACTTATGTTGAAACTCCAATATATTATATTGAAGTATTTTTCGGATTTTGAACAGTGTTTTGATTCAAATTTATCTTTACATAAAAAGTGGCTAAAATTCGATTACTTTTAAAACTGTGACTATTTTTGAATTTCTTCCTTTCATTAGAGCTGAGTTACATATGTAGTTTATCTACAAAAATAAAAAAGAAACATATTCCTTTTTCGTTTTACCAAAATTTTGGCAAAAAGGTATGAGGTATGACAAAAATGATTTGTGTAAGCCACATTCCAAGTCACTTTTTATTTGTCCGAATTGTTTTTTCTTTTTTATCTAAGTCACCGGCTTTCTCTGTGTTGTTAAAGTTGGCTTATCGGCTACTGTAGGCTATCTATGTTAAAAAAATCTTCCCTTTCTTTCCATAACAACTATTCATTCGCCGAAAAGTAAAAGAAAGACAATTAAAAAAATAATATCCTAGAATTTTACTGGAAATTCTTAAACCAAAAAATCTTTATGTGGTTTAGTTAACTACCACTGAATTTAGTCGTACGAAAAAAGCAATGACAATCTAAGTTAGATGACACTTGGCGAAGAAAAGGACAAAAAATCCAAGATGACACTTGGAGCATAATTGACGAACTCCTACTTATTCTATAAAAGTAATATGCATATATTATTTTATTATATACAAGTACAAATAATGAGCAAATATCGAGAGTGACAAGTAATATGC